GCAGCAACATGGATGGACCTTGAGATTATCATACTAAGTGAAGTAAGTCAGAAAGAGAAAGACTAATACCACATGATATCACTTATATGTAGAAGCTAAAAAAATACAAATAAAGTTATTTACAAAAGTTGAGTAAATTCACAGACATAGAAAACAAGCATGGTTACTGAAGTGGAGGTGGGGGATAAATTAGGAGTTTTAGATTAAAATATGCCCACTGCTATATATAAAATAGATAACCAACAGAGATCTACTGTATAGTATAGGGAACTAAACTCAATATCTTATAATAACCTATAAGGGAAAAGAATGTATAAAAGCAATGTATGTATATATATTAAATAATAGTGGGTTTTTACAAAAATTTTGCAGAAACCAAATTTTTGCCCAACTAGTAATGCTGGGCTTTCCTTGTAGCCCAGCTGGTAAAGAACCTTCCTGCAATGCAGGAGACCCCATTTTGATTCCTGGGTCAAGAAGATCCCCTGGAGAAGGGATAGGCTACCCACTCCAGTATTCTTGGCATTCCTGGTGGCTCAGATAGTAAAGAGTCCACCTGCAATGTGGGAGACCTGGGTTCAACCCCTGGGTTGGGATAATCCTCTGGAGGAGGGCGTGGCAACCCACTCCAGTATTCTTGCTGGAGAATCCCCATGGACAGAGGAGCCTGGTGGGCTACAGTCTAGGGGGTTGCAAAGAGTCAGACACGACTGAGCGACTAAGCACCACACAGTGATGTTAAATTTTGCTTATTGATTAATTGGCTTCTAAAAGCAGAGCCCATTGATATGTTTTAAAAGCTTTTTAACTCAGAATTCCTTCTGTAATACACCTAAGCTGTGTGCAAACTAGGGTGTTAACTTTTTACGCAAACTTCATCATATGTTCTCTGTTCTTCATGTGTTTACAGATTTATATAAAGAGATTACAACTCTTGAAAAGATCAGAAATGATAAGATGCCTATAAATGAACTAAGCTCCCAACTCTTGAGTGCTGGAGTTCCTTTAAGCAACAAGGCATTCCAGGAGATTCTGAATGAAGCATCTACTGATGGTGAGTTTTTTGAAAGAACAGTCTGTACTGAGCTTTATGAAAACTTAGTTTTACTGTGTACATGGGATATCTGTTGTGTATGTGTATATTTTAGACACACTAGTTCTTAGAAATATAATGAGAACATAGGCATCTTGAAAACTAATTAAAATTAACTTTTTCTGGAAACATTTTCTGGAAATATTTTTAAGATATATCTATTTATCTGGCATCAAATCTGTAAAATATATATATCAATATTTAATTATTTAAGCTGAATAAGTTAATATAATTAGATTTTCCCCCTTCCTTTGAGAGAAAAGATTATGGGTAAAAGTGTCTTAAATTAATTGGTTTTTATCCAACTACTTTTCAGAAATTATAAAATTTGCTCACCCACCTCTCTCTGTTATAGTTATTTAATAATTATTAGCATTTACAACTTGCCATTTCATAACCCTTATACTTTACTTTTTAGAAACTGGTGAAGTAAATCTCAAGCAAATTTTGGAAACTTTTAACACAAGTAAGCCAGTTTCTGAATTTAAAGGTGAGTAAATAATTCTTTCCTTTTAGATATTTATCATAGTTTGCATTGTATTTTGTCATTATTATTAAGTGCTGTTGTGAGTTATAAATGGCATACAAATCAACTGTATATTTTTATGATTAAAGTGCACAATTTGATAAGTTTTGACATATACATATACTTATGAAACTGTCATCACAATCAGTAGTGAGCACATTTAACCCCTAAATTTCCCCACGTCACTTTGTAATCTCTCCTGCCTTTCCATATCCTTCTTCTTCCCATCCCCAGGCAAGCACTGATGTACTTTCTGTCAATAGAGATTTGTTAGCATACCCAGAGTTTTATACAAATGGAGTACTCTTTTTTTTTTTTTCAGTTTTGTTTATTTATTTATTTTGGCTGCTTTGGGTCTTCGCTGCTGCTTGCAGCCCTTCTCTAGTTGCCATAAGTAGGGGCTACTCTGTTGTGTTTGGAGGGCTTCTCACTGTGGTGGCTTCTCTTGTTGCCGAATATGGGCTCTGGGGCACGCGGACTTGAGTAGTTGCTGTGTGTGGCTCAGTAATTGCGGTTCCTGGGCTCTAGAGCACAGGTTCAGTAGCTGTGGTGCATGGGCTTACTTGCTCCATAGCATGTAGGATTTTTCCCGGTCAAAGTGATAACCCTTGTCTCTTGTGTTGGCAGGCATATTCTTTACCACTTAGCTATCAGGGAAGACCAATAGTTGTACTCTTTTTTTTTTCTGGATTCTTTCACTAAGAATAATTATTTTGGGATTAATTCATATTGTACCCTGTATCAATAGTTTATTCTTGTTTATGACTGAATTGTACTCCATTTTATAGATATACTGTGATTTATTTACTTACCTACTGATACACATTAGGTTGTTTCCAATTTTTGCCTATTACAAATAAAGTTTCTATTTGTGTAAGTTGTTATATAGACATATGCTTTAATTCTCTTGGGTAATTGCCAATTATTGATTGGATACTAGGTATGTATTTAACTTTTTAAGAAACTGCCAATTTCCAAAGTGTTTACACCATTTTACATTCCCACCAGCAGTGTAACAGAGTTCCACTTCTTCCAAATTTTTGCCATTGCTGGATATAGTATGTCTTTTAAATTTTAATCTTTCTAATAAGTGTATAGCTGTATCCATTGTGGTTTTAATTTGCATTTCCTTAATGACTAATGCTGTTGAGCATCTTCTCCTGTGCTTACTTTTTAGCTGTATATCTTCTTTGGCAAAGTATCTGTTCAGAGCTTTTGCCCACTTTTTAAGTTGGATTTTTAAAAAACTTCTGTGAATATTCTGGTTACAAGTCTAGTATAAGACGTGTACCTAGCAAATATTTTCTCTGAGTCTTTTGCTTATCTCTGTATTTTCATTTTCTTAACTGTCTTTAGAAGAGCATTAATTTTGATGAAGTCTAATCAAGTTTTTTCTTTTATGCGTTGTGCTTTTGGTTTTATGTATATGAAATCTTTGCCTTACCAGAGGTTAAAAAGGCTTTTTGGTATGTTTTATTCTAAAATTTTATGGGTTTTAATTTTGCATATTAGGCATATGATCTATTTTTAGTTAAATTTTGTATATGAAGTAAAGTTTGAATCAAAGTTCTTTTATTTTTGTACATATGGATATCCATTTGTTCCAGTACCATTGTTGAAAAGACTATGCTTTTTCCACTGATTTGTCTTTGTACTTTTATAGAAAATCACACACGCACACATATACACACACACATGCATATATATACACACACACACAGTTGACCATTGAGCAACACAGGTTTGAATGGGTTGGGTCCATTTATACATGGATTATTTTGAATAAATGTATAGTATAGTAGTATACTATATACTATAGTAGTATACAATCCAAAGTTGATTGAATCTGCAGATATAGAACTGTGAATATGCAAGACCAACCATAAAATTATATGTGGATTTTTGACTGTTCAGAGGTCACTGTCCCAAACCTCACATTATTCAAAAGTCAAATGTATATATATGGCTTCCCTGGTGGCTCAGATGGCAAAGGATCTGCCTGCAATGCAGGAGGTCTGAGTTTGATCCCTGGGTCGGGAAGATCCCCTGGAGAAGGGAATGACTTACCCACTCCAGTATTATTGCCTGGAGAATTCCATGGACAGAGAAGCCTGGCAGGTTACAGTCCATGGGGTTGCAAAGAATCAGATATAACTGAGCAACTAACACACACACACACACACCACAGTATAAATATATATTCCCAGATTCTCTGTTCTGTTTTATTGATCTTTTTTCTATCTTTACACTAATAACAACATTGCCTAATTACTATAACTTTCTAATAAACATTGAACTCCATTAGATTGTATCAGTTCCCCAACTTTTCAAAAGTTGTTTTGGCTACTGTAGGTCTTTTTACATCACCATACGAATTTTAGAACCAGTTTGTAAATTTCTACAAAAAAGCCTACTGGAATTTACTGGAGAAATTAAGGAGCTCATGAATTAAGATTTGTTTGAAATTTTTCTTATCTAATAAATTATTCCTGCAACTTTTTTGTGTATTTGTATTTTTCCCCCTTGAAAACTTTTTTCCTATAATCTCTTAGGAAACTAGGGATTCTGATCCGATTAGTGACTTTGAGTGTACGATGATTTGTATAACTTGGTGATAAAGTAGTTAGGGACATGGGTCTAATGCTCAGGATCCTGTTTAGAGGAGAAAACTCCTAGAGGTTTAGCTAAGACCCAGAGGAATGCAGAGTGCTTCAGCTTGAAAGAACCTCTAGCATTTTTATTTTCCTCAGAGAAAAACCCTTTTATCTATTTCCTATAATCTTGAAACTTTTCGGTCTGTATTTCATCTACATTTGTGGCATTTGACCCTTGTATATAGATATCTTTTAGGTTAAGAAGTAAAGGCCATTTCTACTTTTAGGCAAAATATATTTCTAAAAACACTACTCTCGCAGTTTTGGGGTAATTTTAAAAGAGAGTAAAAGTTATGAGGACTAAGGAAAAAAAAGGAAGGAAAATATTTTTAAATAGAAAATTCAGGGATAATAGCTTTATATTCTGAAATTTGAATAGTTTCTTAGAGATAAAATCTCTAAGAAATCTCTCTCACTGACAAAAAAAATTGAACATTTCCTTACAAGATGCAATAATGGCTATATTTAGATTTTTTAAAATTGTTTGTTTTATTCAGCTAAATTAGAAAAACTCAGTCAACTTTTTTTGTATTGAGTCAAAAATAACTTGTTTCTCAGGGAAATTCTTGAAACAAAAGATTATTTTTGTCTTATTAATTTTGGAATCATAGAGATACAAGTTAATTGAGATACATGTTTGGACAATAGTCTAGAATTTTAGGTACATTATTGTTCAGAAGTTTCCAAAGGATATTAAGTGACTTACAGAATCCCCATTTGCTTTCAGATATACACACTGCCCTCAATACTGTCAGCTTGATGAACCGCAACAGAATTCAAGCTAATGACTTAAAAGATGCTTTTGATGAACTCAGTGTTTCTGTAAAGCCTGAAGAACATCAGATGTTAGAGAAAACCCTTGACATTGACGGTATATATAACAAGTATAAGTTCGTTTTCTGGACAAAGTGATATAATTTTTAAAATTTCCCTTCCTTATCTTCCACTCATCACTCTCCAACTCTCCAACAACTTTCTTTTTATTATTCTGATGGGGAAAAAAATACTCTTAACAGAGCAACTCTACTGAGGTCATGAATTTATCTTGATAAAGAAGTCTTTGAATAAAACTAGTAAGGTTTTTTAAAGCCTATATAACCCCATCAGATATTCTGTGTTGACTCCATAAGGGTATATTTATTTGTTTGTGTGATTTTAGCACCTACAGCACTATAGAAATCAGGAAAGGTAAAGTAATTGAGAAGGTTGTGCTGATGTGAAACTGCTTTTGGCCAGGAAAGTATTAGAAGAGGACTTTACCCCCCCTGCGTGAGATATTTATGGCATAAGGTTGATTAATGTGAATCCTAAGAGCTTTCAGAAAAAACTATATATAATTTTCAAATTTTGAAAATTATTATGTTTTTAAATTAACTTAAAATCAGTTTCTAAAAATATTTTCTTTTTTGCATTATTAAATGAGTTTTTGACTTGCTTCATCAGTAGTAATGACTGGGGCTAATGTGTGGCACAACTTCTGGGGCACATTGTTATCTGAGTAAACAGGATTCCTTGGTGTTGTCCAGTGCCTGTCTTGAATGACTAAGTGTGGCAGACTTGATCTTGAGTGCCTATTATATGTAAGGTGTCATGTAATATGTAATCAAACAAATATAAAATATTTATATTTAGGAATCTTTTGGTCTAGCTAGTAAGGCAAGATATAAACAACAAAAGAGTATATTACAATACAGAATATAAAAGTTCAGTGAATGTATAATGTTAACATGGCAAAATTTGAATAATTGCCAGGGAAATTGATGTGATATTGATTTATAATAAGAAATATATATTTAGTCTCTGCCCTCATTTCTGGGACAGAGCTCCTAAAACTCTTATAAATTCCTAAGTGATAAGAGCACTAGGAGTATCTTTTGTTCTAATGAGACAGCTCTGGTGGGGCTCCTGGATGTGGGCTGGATGGGGGCTGATTACCCTAAAGACCAAGCCAAGATTAGAAGCTTAGAATTTTCAGCCAATCCCACCCCTACTCCCATGATGGAAGAGGGACTGGAACTTGAGTGAATAATTGATTATGCTTTTGTGAGGAAGCCTTCCTTGAGATCCTCCCAGATATCACCTTATATATCTCTTCATCTGGCTGTTCTTCTGCACACTTTATCATACCCTTTAATAAACTGGCACACATAACTAACTGCTGCCCTGAGTTTTGTGAAGTGCTCTAGCAAATCACCCAGCCCAAGTGGGAGGAGGTCATAAGAACACCCAGTTTGTAGCCAATTTGGACAGAAGTTGTGGGTAGCCTGAAGTCCTCCTACTTACAATTGGCATCTGAAGTGGGGATGGGGTGTCTCGTGGGGCTGAACTCTTAACCTATGGGATGTTATTTCTGGTAGATAGTGTCAGAATTGAGTTAAATTATAGGCCATTCAGCTGGTGTTGTAGAGAATTGCTTGGTGTGGGAACTCTTCCCTCATCAAACTGGTGTTAAAAGTATTGTGAGTGTGGTGGTAGTGTGAAAGTAAAGGAGAAACATGTAAAGAAAGACTGAATTTTTCGCATACAGGTAATACTGTGTTGTGTGAGTTCAGAGGGAAGCTATTTCATTTATTCATTGAAAGTTTATTGAGCACCTATTGCTTGCTGGACACTAAATATAAAGATAAAAAAAGCTTACAGTATATTGAGATGACAACGAGAACACCAATTAAATTCTATGATACTATACCAGTTAAATACCATATAGGTAAACATTCATTGAATGTTATGGAAAGCACACACAATATATACCTAACCCACACAAGGTTGGATAGGGTAGTCAGAAGATTATTCCCAGAGGAGATGACATTGGAGTTGAGTTTTGAAACGTGAGTAGGAAGTAGTCAAGAATTGGGAGTTCAGGGAAGGGGACTGGAAGGAGTTAGAAGGGAATGCTGAGAAATCAAAGGAACTTTAAGTAGCCCAGTAGAACTTACACCAGTGGATCTTTGACTGATTTATATCAGTATTACTTAGGGAATTTGTTAAACCCAGATGCTTTGATCTCATTCTAGATCTCTTGCTTCAGAGATATCTGCATCAGATCCAAGGCACATGTGTGTGTATGTGTCTGTTTTTCAACGAACTTTACAGTTCATGTTGAAATCATGAAATCAAAGTTTGACCATTGACTTGGTGGTGCGTAGTTGTTGAGAGTAAGGTCAAGAGCAGATAAAGAAGGGTTTTACTTTTGTTTCTTTCTGAGCAGAAGAGTTAAAACTTTACCCTGCAGGCTCTAGTGAAAGTTGCTCAGTCGTGTCCAAGTCTTTGCGAGCCCATGGACTATACAGTCCGTGGAATTACCCAGGCCAGAATACTGGAGTGAGTAGCCTTTTCCTTCTCCAGGGCATCTTCCCAACCCAGGGATTGAACCCAGGTCTCCCACATTGCAGTTGAATTCTTTACCATCTGAGCCACAAGGGAGTTATTGAAAATTCAGCATTGAAAAGTGACATGATTAATTTTGCACTTTGTAATACACATTTTGATAGTGGTGTTGAGAAAGGACTAAAGATTGTGACAACATAGATGGACCTAGACAGTGTTATACTAAGTGAAAAAAGTCAGAGGAGGACAAATACCATATGATTTATTTTATATGTAAAATCTAATAAAACAAAGGAACAAATGTAACAAAACCTAAACAGAGTCACAGATACAGAGGGTAAACAGATAATTGCCAAAGGGGAATGGAGTGGGGGGATGAGAGAAACAGGTGAGGAAGATTAAGAGGTGAAACAGTAATAATGTAATATCTTTGTGTGATGACAGATGGTAGCCATACTTACCATGGTGACCATTTGTAATGTAAAGAAATACTGAATCATGTTGTACGTATCATGTTGTAGGAACTAACACAGTGTTGTATGTCAGTTATACATCTAAAACCCCACAAATTTATAGAAAAAGAAATCAGATTTGTGGTTACCAGAGGGGGATTGGGGGAGGGGGAATTGGATGAAAGTGGTCAAAAGGTGCAAACTTCTGGTTATAAGATAAATAAGTACTAAGGATGTAATGTACAGCATGATAGATACAATTAACACTGTTGTGTGTTATATATGAAAGTTGTTAAAAGAGTAAATCCTAAGAGTCCTCATCACAAGGAAAAACATTTTTTCTTTAATTTTGTGTCTATATGAGATGATGGATGTTCACTAAACTTATGCTAATCTTTTCACAATATATGCAAATCAAATCATTATGCTGTACATCTTAAACTTATATAGTGCTGTATGTCAATTATATCTCCAAAAAAAAAGGAATTAAAAAAGGGCTAAAGGAGGGTAAGTTTGAAAGTAGGGAGACATTTTAAAACTCATAGTTATCCTGGTTAGAAATCATGAGTGTTGAACTAAGGCACTGGCTAAAGGGATGGAAAGAAGGGAACAAATACGATTTCTGGGAGGCAGAACATCATTGTTGTTTAAGTTAGGGAAGACAGAAGGAGAGGAAATAGGATGAATAACATATTTCTGGCTTGGGAGACTTACTTCATGATGATGCTTTCTAATAAGATAGGGAATGTAGGAGGAGGATCAGGTTTTAGTGCAAAAATGAGGATAACATTGTGTCTGAGATGCTCGTGGACGTAGAATTGAAGACATGCAGTAGATAGTCTAGGCTAGAAATAGAAATTTGAGAGTCGTCAACATGTTGCTTGTAGTTAAATTCAGAAAAAATTTATAGGGTATAATAAAAAGAGAGCTAAGGATAGAGGACTGGGGCATGCTAACATTTAAGTAATGGTGAAGAAAGAGTAGTTTATAAAGGACATTAAGAAGAAGTAAGCAGAATGGTAGGAGGGAGCCCATGAGAAAGCTGTAACCACAAAACAAAGAGGAAAAAAAAGTTTCAAGGAGGAAAGTGTAATATAAAACAAAAAAATTAAATGTATTTATCAGTTTGGCAGTAAATAATTAACTGGTGAACTTGGTAAAAGCAGTTTCAGGAGAAGTGAAAGCCAGATAGCAGCAGTTTGAGGTGTGAATGAGGATATGATAAAATATGAATAAAGACATTTCTTTTCAGGAATTAGGTTGTCAAGGAAAGGAAAGAAAGGAGCAGTAGCTGGAGGGCAATATAGGCTCAAGGGAAGGCTTTCCTGAAAACGACTTATGGTCTGGTTTTGACATGAATAAGATCTGGTTAAGGACAGAATGGGTACCTTTCTGGACAAAAGTTTACAGAGGTAGAAACTCATAAGCTACTTTAAGAGAACCAGTGTAACTCATTGTGGAAGTCCTTTATGTTTCTTGAATTGATCAATTTATCTTTGTACTGTTTTTGTCTTTACAGAAAAGGGGCATGTTTCCCTGAAGTCTGCCCTATTAGCATTGAAGAGCAGTAAGCGTTTTCAAGATTTTAGGGGTGAGAATAATTAGGGAGTTTTATACACATTTCAAACATAGATAATACTTACCGTAATTGTTGATAAGTGATGGGCCACTTACATAAAATCATAAGTGAAGTGAAGTGAAGTGAAGTCGCTCAGTTGTGTCCGACTCTTTGCGACTCCATGGACTGTAGCTTACCTGGCTCCTCCCTCCATGGGATTCTCCAGGCAAGAATATTGGAGTGGGTTGCCATTTCCTTCTCCAGGGGGTCTTCCCGACTCACGGATTGAACCTGGGTCTCCTGCATTGCAGGCAGATGCTTTAACCTCTGAGCCACCAGGGAAACCAAAATCATAAGTAACACACTACAAAATTAAATGAGTGGTATACATTTAATATTTTAGGAGTTCAGATGAAGGTGAACTTCAAATGTTCACTAGTTTAACTTTTAACATTACTTATAAGCTTATAATTGAAGCAAATAGTATGCCTTCTAACAAGGATGCCAAAAATATGTGACCTTAAAAATTATTTAGTTAATTAAGTTTTTTGGTTAGGTAACATGTTCAACAGACCATAAATTAAAAAGTATATAAAGCGCCAGAGGAGATCAAGATGGTGGAGTAGGAGGATGCTGAGCTCATCTCCCACAGACACATCAAAAATACATCTGCATAGGGAGTAAATCTCACTTAAAGGAAACTGGAGACTGGCAGCAAGACTTACACAACCAAGACTGTAAAGGAAGATCCCTGTGAAGTTGGGTAGGAAGGGAAATAAAGTGATCAGGTCAGGACCTGTGCCCCTAGCAAGGGACACAGTGGAGGAGAGGGATTATAAAGGCTCAGAGATACTTGCTGGGGAGTGAGCATTTCAAACCACATATTGGGCACCCCAGCCCTGTGATATGACATTAGGAAGATGAGTCACCTCAGCTTGTTTGAAAACCAGTGGGACTAACAGGCTGTTGTTGTTCAGTTGCTAAGTCATTTCTGACTGTTTGTTACCCTATGAACTGCAGCACTCCAGGCTTCCCTGTCCTTCACTGTCTCCAGAGTTTGCTCAAACTCATGTCCATTGAATCAGTGATGCTGTCTAACCATCTCATCCTCTGCTGCGCCTTTCTCATCTTGCCCTCAGGCTTTCTCAGCATGAGGGTCTTTTTCAATGAATCAGCTCTTCGCAACATGTGGCTAAAGTATTGGAGCTTCAGCATCAGGCCTTTCATTGAATATTCAGGATTGATTTCCTTTAAGATTCACTGGTTTGATCTCCTTGCAGTCCAAGGGACTCTCAAGAGTCTTCTCCAGCACCATTACTTGAAAGTATCATTCTTCCACGTTCAGCCTTCTTTATGGTGCAGCTCTCACATCCATACATGACTATGGGAAAAACCATAACTTTGACTGTATGGACCTTTGCTGGCAAAGTGGAGAAGGGCTGTAAGAAACTTAGACCCTGCTTGTGAAAAGCATACGCATGCTTGCTTATTCTTTGGGACAAGGCAAAGGAAGCAGATTGAAACTGCCTGGGACTCTGGCTAGTTTCCTGTGACCACTCCAGTGCAAACCCTGGCCCATGCTGAGCACCTGCTCTGGCCCCTCTGACTCTGGTGCAGTTCTGCTCTAGGGAGAGGGTTGCCATTGCTGAGAGGAGTATACACTTGTGACAGGAGGAGCCAGCATGGCATCTGAATGGGGTGAGGGCAGCCATTATTGGTATTCACAGAGGGAGCAGATTGGGAGGGGTCTGGAGCTCTGACTGAGCATATGAGAAGCTCTGGTTCACACCTGGCTCTGGCTCTAGCCCCTCCATTCCCAGTGACACATCACACCAAGGTGATAGCTGCTAGCACGTGTTTGGGGAAGACATGACCCTTGCTCCCATCTTCTAACTCTTCCACCAAAGCCACATGTGAACTGTATAGGGGCACTCTCATACAAGGACACCCCTTTAAGCCTGAAATAGGTAACTGTTTCACCTAAATTCATAAAGACAGAGAATGTTAAGCAAAATGAGAAGACAGAGAAATTTGTTTCAAACAAAAGAATAAGAACCCCACCCCCCAAAAAACAAGGTGCTAGGTGCTCAGATGCTTAGTCATGTCCCACTCTTTGTGATCACATGTACTGTAGCCTGCCATGTTCCTCTCTCCATGGGATTTTCCAGGCAAGAATATTGGAGTGGGGTGCCATTTCCTCCTCCAGGGGATTTTCCAACTCAGGGATCGAACCCTCATCTCTTACATGTCCTGCATTGTCTGACACATTCTCTACCACCAGCACCACTTGGAAAGCCCCTCCCCCAAAATAAAGTAACAGACAAAAATTTGTCACATTAAGTATTCAAAGCATTAGTAATAAGAATACTATCTGAACTGGGAAAAGAATAATGAACATAGTGGGAATTTTAACAGGCAATCGGAAATTAAAGAACTAGCCAGGGCTGAAGAATATAATACTAGAAATGAAAAACACACTAGAAGGAATTGACAGCAGACTAGGTGATAGAGAAGAATGCATAAGTGACCTGGAAGATAAAATAATGGAAATCACCAATTCAGAATAGCAAAAAGAAAACAAAAAAATCGACAGTTTAAGGGTCCTTTAAGACAATATCAAGCATACTGATACTCTCATTTTAGGGGTGCTAGAAGAAGAGAGAGAAAGGGATGGAAGATATGTTCGATGAAACTATGGCTGAAAAATTCTTGAACCTGAAGAAATAGGAAGAACTTTTGCAATTGTGATTATCCTCTGTTGTTGTTCCTTCTTATTTAAAAAAATTTATTTTGACTACTCATAAGCTGCTTTAAAAAACATTTGTTTATTTATTTGACTGTACTAGGACTTAGTTCAGCTTGCTGGGTCTCTTTTTCTAGTTGCAACAGGCAAACTCTTAGTTGGGGCATGTAGGATCTAGTTCCCTAATCAGAGATAGAACCCGGCCCCCCTGCATTGGGAGCATTGAGTTTTAGCCATTGGACCACTAGGGAAGTCTTTGTTCCTTTTTTATATCTTTAGTTGTGGCAAATCTTTTCTGTTAGTCTTCAGATCATTCTCATAGATGGTTGCTCTGTAAATAGTTGTAATTTTGGTGTGTCTGCTGGGGGAGGTAATCTCAGAGTCTTCCTACTCTGCCATATTGACCACATAAACCCCCTCAAAAATAAACCAATTCTATTAGCATATTAATTAGCTATTACCATATTAAGATCATGGCATCCGATCCCATCACTTCATGGCAAATAGATGGGGAAACAGTGGCTGACTTTATTTTTGGGGGCTCCAAAATCACTGCAGATGGTGATTGCAGCCATGAAGCTAAAAGACGTTTACTCCTTGGAAGGAAAGTTATGACCAACCTAGGCAGCATATTAAAAAGCAGAAACATTACTTTGCCAACAAAGGTCCATCTAGTTAAGGCTATGGTTTTTCCAGTGGTCATGTATGAATGTGAGAGTTGGACTATAAAGAAAGCTGAGCACCGAAGAATTGATGCTTTTGAACTGTGGTGTTGGAGAAGACTCTTGAGAGTCCCTTGGACTGCAGGGAGATCCAACCAGTCCATCCTAAAGGAGATCAGTCCTGGGTGTTCATTGGAAGGACTGATGTTGAAACTGAGACTCCAATACTTTGGCTACCTGATGAGAAGAGCTGACTCATTGGAAAAAGACCCTGATGCTGGGAAAGATTGAGGGCAGGAGGAGAAGGGGATGACAGAGAATGAGATGGTTGGATGGCATCACCGACTCAATGGACATGAGTTTGGGTAAACTCCAGGAGTTGGTGATGGACAGTGAGGCCTGGCGTGCTGTGGTTCATGGGATCGCAAAGAGTCAGACACAACTGAGCGACTGAACTGAACTGAATTACCATATATACCATACCTACATTCTCAGCCCTAAGTAAAAGAGAGTCAGTATAAGTTTTAATAAAAAATAGAAAAGAACCAGACTGAGGTGGCAGTAGCTGGGAAGCAGCAAAGAGAACACAACATATAAGGCAAGGATATGGGAAGAATGGGAAGCAGAAATGGACATACAGAGCTTAATTCTTATGATGAGCTTGCCTTGTAATTGATCTTCTATTTTATGTGTTTGAAATGAGAATTACCTCAAGAGAGTATTTAAAATGAATGCTATATTATCTTTAAGGAAAAAATGCTAGGTATTTAAACTAATTTCTTGAAATACGGTTAAAGTTAATTATTAGAGTTTGTATTTAAACTGAAAATATTTTCTTTTTATAGAGGTTAATAAACTTGCAAATGCCTTAGACAAAGTCACCAATGAAAAAGTTTATGTTGATGATATACAATCTATACTGAGTGGCCTGGGGATTTATTTTCCAGAAGAAGAATTACAAGAGATGCTTTCATCAGTTTCTGTTGATAGTAAGTATTTTCTTTTCTAGGACATTTATTATATATAAAACTTGTGTCCATTTTCACTCATAAATCCACAGAGCTGAGTGGTAAGGTATCAAATATGAGTTCAGCAACGTTAAAATTTCCCTCTAGGCTTGGGTGAGATTTTGTTCTGGATTATCTTCATATTGAGTTATCCTATAAAAGTATAATCTTCCTCTCTTCTTCCCCTCCCCCCACCCCTTTTTTTGCCCCCTGAGGTTTGAATCATGGTTTATTGGTTAGGAACTGTGAAGTTGTCTTGTGCGCATGAAACAAAGGCCTAAGCTTTAGTATGATGATACATTCTACCAGTATGGTTTCCTTACAGTCCTCAACAGGCTATACTGCCGTTTTGGAGTTCTGCCAGTGGAATGTTTAGCTTACATGTACAGCCTTGTAATGTTCTTTTTCTTCTTAAGTTCTAAGTACATTACTGATAGAAAGCCAAATATTGTGTAGTTCCTGTATTAATATATCTTTGCTCATAAGTATATGTAGTTTTCTTTAAATATTATAGCTTGTTTGGTTTATGGTACTTATCTTTTAGTGGATAAATTATATTCTGTGAAGACATAGGTAGTTATCATTGGATGTGTAATGCTGAAAAATTACAGGAATATAGCATCAGAGAGGAAATGTGAAAACAATGATCTCAATTGGTTAAGGTATGTGTAAAATCCATAAAATGTTCATTGGCTCTATAGCAAAAAAGATCACAAGAGTCATCATAATCATGTTCCTTTTTATAATTAGTCTGAGATACGTTTATTAGAATCAGTGTCAGAAAAATATAAGACTAACTTTGGTTTTGAAGATTTAGTAGGCATGCATATCTTCTTACTTCATACTTTTGTATCTTTGGACCAAAGACCATTCATTCCTTTATGTTTCATTTTCAGATGAAGGAAAAGTGGACTTAAAAGATTTCCTGATTAGGTTGTCACAAACTCCATATTTTACAAAAGGTTCAAGTGAGTGAGAACTTTTTAGCAATAATTTTGAGTGGAATTGTTTAGTTTTGATTATGTGCATTTATGCAGTTTTCTAATGCTGCAAAGCATGTCATATGCATAACAAATGTACTTTGAATGAAGAACCAGTAAGGAATTATAGTCCTAACCTTTTCTTGACTTATATTTCCTAGAGTTATAGTATATTTTTTCATCACTCAAAAGGGGTAAATATACAAAATCTATCTGGATGATTCATCCTAGTAGTTGACTTTGTGATCCAAGATGGCTGCCATCAGTTGGCAATGTCTTGGCCATTTTACTGAAATTCTGGGAAGAAGGTCAATACTCCTTTTTCTTTTTCTATGCTATTATAAACTTATTTAAATGAGATTTTATCATGGGAATATTAACTATTGAAACATATAGGAACATGTTGAAACATATAGGCTTCCTCCGTGATATTTTTTGCATTACTCCACTTCCTTAGACATGGATATTGGGTGTAATCTGGTTTTAATGTATTCAGTTAACTGCTATCTCCAACTGATAGAGGTGTCTGTGGGAACTTCTGCATCTCCTTGAAATTTAGGCTAAATAAGCCCCAATTAGTAAATTCACAACTATTTTGGATTCCTTGAGTCTCCTGGCAGCAACCCATTTTTTTGAGGTTAATTGAAATGGCTTAATTTCCCTTAGATGCTTTCTAAGGTTGAAACTGAACTAAATTCAAAAGGCTTAATTTAAATAGCTACAAAATGAAGTTGTTTTCCAGAGCCTAAGTGTTTAGGATGTGACCAAAATGGTATGTTTTCTCAATTGACAAAAGATTTTTGTCCTAAATCTTTGTTTTTCTGAATGGGATCTTATAAAACTCTCCCATATATATGGTTTATAAGCAATTCTCTTATAGGGTTAATGTTTGTGACAGTATTTATCATAATACATTAAAATTTTTTTCTTATTTGAATAATTTATACATAATACTTTAAAAAATAAATATTAACATTTTTTGTATTGATATAGCTGTGCCAGTCTTTCCATTGTTGGGGGGATATTTTTGGCATATGTATTGGCATGTACAGGTATCCACTGAAGGAAAAAAACTGAGGCCAGTCACATCAAGTTATGACCAGTTATGCAGTTTTTAGCAAGAGGATTACTTTTATGATTATTTGGCATAGCTTTTTGGGGGTTTCTCTGGTGGCTCAAATAGTAATGAATCTGCCCACAATGCAGGAGAACTGGGTTCGATCCCTGGGTTGAAAAGATCCCCTAGAAGAGGAAATGGCTACCCACTCTGGTATTCTTGCCTGAAGATTCCCATGGACAGAGGAGCCTGATGGTCTACAATCTATGGGGTCATAAAGAGTTGGACATGACTGAGCGACTTTCAGTACCTTAGCTTTAGTGGAATTGTATCATTATTTATGATGTAGATAAATATATGTTCTGAGTTTTGTGTGTGTGTGACCATCCTTAAGTCTCAACTTTAAATATTTGCAAGAGTCTTGGGTTAGCATGCTAGCTAAACATTCTGCCTAAGAAATCAGATATCCTGCACTTCAGACTTGCCTTCACTTTTAATAACTATGTATGCTAATTAGACACCCTGTGGCTCAGACGGTAAAGCGTCTGCCTACACTGTGGGAGATCCGGGTTCCATCCCTGGGTTGGGAAGATCTCCTGGAGAAGGAAATGGCAACCCACTCCAGTATTCTTACCTGGAAAATCCCATGGATAGAGGAACCTGGTAGGCTACAGTCCATCAGGTCGCAAAGAGTCGGACACAACTGAGTGACTTCACTCACTTTCATGCATCACAGCCTTGTTGTGGCGGAGGCACTTGCATAACTCAGTGAGGTTATGAGCCATAATATGCAGGGCCACCCAAGACAGATGGATCATAATGAAGAGTTCTGACAAAACGGTGGTCCACTGAAGGAAGAAATGGCAACCCACTCCAATATTCTTGACTGGAGAACCTCATGAACAGTATGAAAAAGCAAAAAGATAGGACACTAGAAGAGAGTCCTCCAGCTCAGAAGGTGTCCAATATGCTAACTGGGGAAAAACAGAAGGCAATTACTAATAGCTCCAGAAAAATAAAGCACCTGGGCCAAAGTTGAAACAATACTCAGTTATGGATGTATCTGGTGGTGAAAGTAAAGTCTGATGCTGTAAAGAACAGTATTGCATAGGAATTTGTAATGTTAGGTCCATGAATCAAGGTAAGTTGGACATAGTCAAGCAGGAGATGGCAAGAATGTATATCAACATCTTAGGAATCAGTGAACTAAAATGGACTGGAATGGGTGAATTTAATTCAGATGACCATTACATCTACCACTGTGGGCCAGAATCCCATAGAAGAAATGGAGTAGCCCTCATAGTCAACAGAAGAGTCCAAAATCCAATACTTGGGTGCAGCCTCAAAAATGAAAAAATGATCTCAGTTCATTTCCAAGGCAAACCACTGAACGTCACAGTAATCCAAGTCTGTGTCCTAACCTCTCATGCCAAAGAAGCTGAAGTTGACTGGTTCTATGAAGATCTGCAAGACCTTCTAGAACTAACACCAAAAAAGATGTCCTTTTCATCATAGGGGACTGGAATGCAAGCATAGGAAGTCAAGAGATATCTGGAGTAACAGGCAAATTTGACCTTGGAGTACAAAATGAAGCAGGATAAAGGCTAACAGAGTTTTGTCAAGAGAACACACTGGTCATAGCAAACACCCTCTTCCACCAACACAAGAGACTACCCTACACATGGACATCACTAGATAGTCAATACTGAAATCAGATTGATTATGTTCTTTGCATCCAAAGATGGAGAAGCTCTGTACAGTCAGCAAAAACCAGACTGGGAGCTGACTGTGGCTCAAGTCATGAGCTCCTTATTGCAAGATTCAAGCTTAAATTGAACAAAGGAGGGAAAACCACTGCCCATTCAGGTATGACATAGGTCAAATCCCTTATGATTATAGAGTGGAAGTGATAAATAGATTCAAGGGATTAGATTTTGTAGACAGAGTGCCTGAAGAACTATGGATGGAGGATTGTAACATTGTACAGGAGGTAGTGATCAAAACCATTCCAAAGAAAAAGAAATACAAGAAGGGAAAGTGGTTGCCTGAAGAGGCTTTACAAATAACTGAGAAAAAAGGGAAAAATAAGCCCAAATTAATGCAGAGTTCCAGAGAAGAGCAAGGAGAGATAAGAAGACCTTCCTAAGTGAACAATGCAAAAAATAGAGGAAAACAATAATTAGAAAGACTAGAGATCTCTTCAAGAAAATTGAAGATATTAAGGGAACATTTCATGCAAGGATGGGGACAATACACAACAGAAATGGTAAGGATCTAACAGAAGCCGAAGAGGTTAAGAAGAGGTGGCAAGAATATATAGAAGAACTATACAGGAAAGGTCTTAATAACCTGGATAAACATGATGGTGTGGTCACTTACCTAGAGCCAGACAACCTGCAGCGTGAAGTCAAATTGGCCTTAGGAAGCATTACTACAAACAGAGCTAGTGGAGATAATGGAATTCCAGCTAAGCTATTTAAAATCCTAAAAGATGATGCTGTTAAGGTGCTTCACTCAATATGTCAGCAAATTTGGAAAACTCAGTAGTGGCCACAGGTCTTCAAAAGGTCAATTTTCATCTCAATCTCAAAGAAGACCAATTCCAGAGAATGTTCAGACTCAGTATGTGAATTGAGCACTTCCAATGTACAAGCTGGGTTTTGAAGAGGCAGAGGAACCAGAGAGCAAATTTCCAACATTTGTTAGATCATGGAGAAAATAAGGGAGTTCCAGTAAATCATCCAATTCTGCTTCATTGGCTATACTAAAACCTTGGACTGTGTGGATAACAATGAACTGTGGGAAATTTCTAAAGAGATGAGAGTACCAGACCACCTTACCTGTCTCTTGAGAAACCTGTATGCAGGTCAAGAAGCAACAGTTAGAACCAAACATAGAACAATGAACTGGTTCAAATTGGGAAAGGAGTTCAAATTGGGAAAAGGCTGTATATTGTCACTCTGCTTATTTAACTTATATGCAGAGTACATCATGTGAAATACTGGACTGGATGATTCACAAGCTGGAATCAAGATTGCTGGGAGAATTATCAACAACCTCAGATATGCAGATGATACCTCTCTGATGGCAAAAAGTGAAGAGGAACTAAAGAGCCTCTTGAGGGTGAAAGGAGAAAGTGAAAAAGCTGGCTTAGAACTCAACATTTGAAAAACTAAGATCGTGGCATCCAGTCCCATCACTTCATGGCAAATAGAGTGGAAACAGTGACAGATTTTATTTTCTTGGGCTCCAAAATCACTGCAGATGGTGACTACAGCCATGAAATTAAAAGATGCTTGCTCCTTGGAAGAAAAGCTATGACAAACCTCAGTTCAGTTCAGTTGCTCAGTCATGTCCAACTCTTTGTGACCCTATGGACTGCAGCACGCAAGGCCTCCCATCACCAGTTCCTGGAGTTTACTCAAGCTCATGTCCATCGAGTTGGTGATGCTATCCAACCGTCTCATTCTTTGTCGTCCCCTTCTTCTCCTGCCTTTAATCTTTCCCAGCATCAGGGTCTTTTCAGATGAGTCAGTTCTTCGAATCAGGTGACCAAAGTATTGGAGTTTCAGCTTCAGCATCAGTCTTTCCAATGAATATTCAAGACTGATTTCCTTTAGGATGGACTGGTTGGATGTCCTTGCAGTCCAAGTGACTTTCAAGAGTCTTCTCCGACACCACAGTTCAAAAGCATCAATTCTTCAACACTCAGCTTTCTTTATAGTTCAACTCTCATGTCCATACATGACTACCGGAAAAACCGTAGCTTTGACTAGATGGACCTTTGTTGGCAGAATAATGTCTTTGTTTTGTAGTATGCTGTCTAGGTTGGTCATAGCTTTTCTTCCAAGGAGCAAGTGTCTTTTAATTTCATCGCCGCAGTCACCATCTGCAGTAATTTTGGAGCCCCAAAAATAGTCTGTCACTGTTT